GCGTTGCATAGTTCAGGTTTACAGTTAGATTAAACGCGCAGCGCACAAAAATACTTGAGTGTAGTATGTGTATGTACGCGTTTGTGTCTGCTTGTGTGTTTGTGGGTGTTTGTATTTGCGTTATTTAGTCGGTCAGTCAGCTTTATCGTCAGGTTTGTCCAAAAACAGCGAACAATTAGCGTAAAGCTCTCAATTGCTGAGACATGCAAATTGAGCAGCCGCATGCGAAATTGCAAACCAGGCAGCATCCACAACACCAACAACAAGAACCACAACAGAAGCAGCGTTTGTTTGACATGCAAACAATAATAAACGAGTGAGAGTATGAGAGAGCGCGAGAGCATGTGCAAAAAAAAAACTAAAACAGAAAAAAAAAGCAAAATAGAACGTAAATGGCAAATATTTTGCGCTCAATTGCGCGCACGCAATGAGTGAAACTAGTCAGCGTGAAAGCACTCAATGGCACTGCGTCGGCGCTGTGCTCTTTTGAGTGCGTTGTTGTTGTTTCGCGAGTACTTAGAACAGCAGCTCTACGCTGCGCTCTTTCGCTGCTAGCAGCGCCGCTACACACACAGCGGTGACGGCTACAAGCTTTCAGCTGCGCTGGCATTCCACTTATTCGTCTTTGGTACGTTGTCGTCTGTGCAGGCAAGCGGCGCAGTCAGGCGCTTGAGTTTTTCCGTGTGCACTTCTAAACTTTAATTCTCACCAAAAAGAAAAAAATCAAGAAAGAATAATAATAAAATTAAAATAACTGGACTCGGCGAACTTGGCCAAATCGAATTAAACAAAACGACTAAAATACGCACAGAATAAACGTTAATAAATTGTTTTTTGTTTAACAACGTCAAATTGTGCAAATAAATACAAAACAGAATTTCAACAAAAGTAAAAAGCAATAAACCAAATAAACGCCATCTATTTTTCAACTTTCGCTGTAAATAAAACTCAATTGCATTTCCGTTGTCAATAAAAAAAATAAATAATTAAAACAATAATAATATATATTTATATATATCAAAAAAATTCTATACAATAAATGTTTTAAATAGAAAAAGGTAAAAAAATTGTTTAAAACACAAAAATTATATAAAAAAAAAGTAATTTGTGGCTGTAAAAATAAACAACAAATTCAACTGCAATTAAGCAATAAAAAAATAATATATATATATATATATATATATATATATATATATATATATATATTATATATATAGGTGTGTATATATATACATATATATATATGTATATATGTATATATATGTTTATATATAAACTAGTTGAACAAAATTTTTATATTTTTATTTTTGACAAAAATAAACTGTTTTTATTATGCGTGAATTTGACAACGACAAAAAAAATAAAACACAATCATACACATGAAAATATATACAGCAATTATATGTATGTGTGTATGTGTGTGTGTCAAAAAGATTATCAAAAAATAAATAAAAATAAAGAAAATGTTCAACATTTTTTTCGATTTAAAGAGAAAAAAAAAACAAGTGCGCACGTTTGTTACACGCGGCAGCGAAAGCGAAAAGCAAAAACAACAAGAAAAACGGTTCATAAAGCAATGCATATTAATTAATAAACAATTACAAAAATCAAGCCAAAAAAGTTTGCAAAAAAACTTTTACACAACACTCGCACCTAACCTACAAAGCGAATGCTGCTGCGGTCGGCGCTGCTGCAGCGGCAGTTGCAAGCGCAAAACAACAACAACAATAACGACGACAATTTTTATTGCAATCTGCGTTCTAGTCGGCGTTGGCGCTGGCGCTGCCGTTGACGTCGCGCGACCCCCACAACGAAACGCACGATCTGTCGCTCTCTGTTTCGTTTTCTTTCTCTCCTACTCTCTTTTGCGTGCACTGTGGCTCTCTGTAATGTCCACGGCGGCGGCGGCGTTTCATTTTGTTTCGCGTTTGTTTTATTTATTTTGGCTATTTGGCATTTCATTTTGTTTTTTTTTTTTTGTATTTTTGTTTCGCTTTCGGCTGAGGGGGTTAGCTGGGAACCTAGCTGCATTTGCGTTTGCATTTGCAATTACATAAAAATGCTGAGCGAGTTAATTTGTTGATGAAATTTAATTGAATTGCAGCTTAATTAGCATTTAGCATCGACTTGTCAATAGACCCACACACATACACATAGCAGCATACAATGTGTGGTTGTGTGTGCATGCTTATGCATATACAAGTCCGCTTATATGCTGATTACACAACATGCATTAGTATGTGAGTGTGTGTGTGTTATGGCCAAAATTCGCGTGTCATGTCTGTCCGCTGTTTATAGTCTAGTTAATTCAGCTTCTATTAAATACATACCTACCTACATATACATATATGTATATATGTATGTACGTGTGTTTTTGTAGCTGCCTCTTTTGCCTACTGCTTTTTATTTTCATTCAATTTAATACACATTGCCTTTTATGTGCGCGCACACATGCACGCATTTCTCGCACACACATACATACACACCAGAAAAAAAAAACATGTTCGTCAAAAGCAATTACTGACATTTTACGTTGAGTTGAGTTTCACATGATGCTGCTCCGTTATTGCTCTGCAATTGAAATCAACAGCAGCGACAGAGGCAGCGACAGCGACAGTGACAGTGGCAGAGGCAACGGCAGAGACAGCTATACAACATCGCCGCAGCTTCAGTCAGGCAGAATTCATTTGTTTTATACATATATATTCTTTTCTTTTTGTTCTTCTGCTGCTGCTCTCTCCCTCACTCTTTCTCTGTGACACCGTATGTGTCTCCTTGTATCTGAGCGTTTCGACTCAGTTTGTTACACAATAAAATTGTTGCTTTAATTTAGTTGAATCAACTACAATACTTCATTCATCTAGTTGCCGCTAGTGCTATGAGCATACCTTAAATGTATATTTACATATATATATTTATTTAATTTTCAATTTGCCATTACCAATTGACATTAAATGCATTACTAATGCACTTCTAAGTGATTATTGTTGTTGCGGTTATTTACACTTTACCCCCATCTTGTTTAGTCGCGCTCTTGCGATCTGCCCCTCTCTTACACACACATTCTCTCTTTGTCATTCAACTTGTATTGTGCGCAAGCAGGAAAGTGTGCCGGTGAGTGTTTGCAGTTCTGTGAGTGCATTTGTTTGTACACGTGCATGTGTGTGTCAGCAAAGAGAGAGTGAGCGAGAGAGACGCACTAACATCACGCGATCAATTGCTACACTGACTCGACTTTGACTTGGACCTGTGTGAGTGTATGTGAGTGCATGTGCGTGTGTGTGTGTACGTTGAGTGTGTTACACAGAGTTCAAGAGTTTAGATGCCCTCTCTCACTCTTTGTTGCTCTTATCAGCATTGCTTGAGGTGTTTGCTTTCGTCACAGAACATTTTAACAGGCCGACAAAGCTTCAATTAAAAGCTCAAAGGCTTAGACTTAATTGATTTTAAGCTTTGTTTCTTCTCTCTCACCAATTTTTGGCAATTTGAATGAAAATGATGTAAGCCGAAAACGTGGGTTCAAACCGGCTGCAACCGGCAGAAAGTACATTAAAAAAAGCCAGAAGAAGAAGAGGAATATAGATGAAGCAATTATTTAAGTGTGTTCTGCTGTGTTCGTTTTGCTTGTTAGCTTTGCGGCTATTGTAGCAAGCGCTTTTGTACCATTGATTGCCTTCCGGCATAGCTCGCTCCCTTTCTCTCTCTCACTGTTTTTGTGTGTATGAATGCAGGTGTGTGTGTGAATGTATGGATTGCTGCATCATTTGGTGTACAGTTAAGTTTCCATAATTTTCCATTGTCAACAAAACGCAACTTGACATTGAATCATCTGTATGCCCACGCCACACTTTGTCAATGCCAATAATCAGACCCTCACGTACCCGTCGAAAACCCAATGTATCTCCCATACTGCGTAGTACCTATTTCACTATTTCACCAGAAAGAGACGAGCCCCCAAAAAAGCGGAATATTCTATACACTTGTTGACTTTGACTTTCAAAGTTAATAATTAAGTTTTTTTTTGTTGCTTGGAATCGTATATTATTTGCACTTCAAGTTCTAGGTTTTACGTTTATCTTTAGCTGTTCGCGGTGGGGGGGATGGGGGTGATTCCACGTCCGAAATTCACGACGTTTTCACGTGTCTAACGCTATAAGGCTCATACGCTGTGCGCATGCACAAGCCAACAGCTGAGTAGAAGCCGATTGTACGTTACTTATCTTATCAACAAGCATTTGCCGGCAAAGAGCGAGCGCGAATTCGAAGTCGAATGCCAGATACACTCAAAAGTCACAGAATTTTCATGCTTTAGTCACGGGCGCAGCGTATGCTTGTTGCAACAATCTGCTGAGCATACATATATATATATAGAGGGGGAGATTATATATAAAATATGTATATATTGCTCTGTTGCCATGATCTGTGCTGTTATCAATAGCAGTGTAACGCTTTAATTAGCCTGCCAGACACACCCACCAACTGGGGCTTATCGCGTGACGACGTCGTCTCGTCTTGGCCCCGTTTATAGATAAGCGCTTAGAGAGGGTAGCACAGGGGCAGGAAAGAGGTTTTTTTGGCTAGCGGATTGTAAGACATGTCCATTTCCGCTAAGGGCTTATCGTTTATAAATAAAAAAGTAAAACAAAAATTTTCCGAAAGCAACTCACAAAACACAGGCTCATTAATAGCAAACAATTATTTATAAATATATTTATAATTTATATATAATACTAACAAAATTTAAAAGAAACAATTTTATTTTATATAAAAACTTTCATCATATATAAAAAACTGTTATATATAAATTATCTGTTATATAAAATTAAAAAAAATATATTACGAAACTTCGCGCGTTTTTCGCTTTCTTAATCGGGCTGTGTTTTGTAACAAACGAGTGCAACTTAAAAAAAAAAACAACAAAGAAACAAAAATGAAAAAATTTAAACCCATTTGATATGATTATCATTACGATATCGTTGTGCATCCATCGCCTTTTGCAGTAATCTTGAGAACAAACATGAGATTTATTCACTTGCGCAACAAACGGCGGCAAGTGAGGAACAGGCAAAGCAACAACAACAAGAACTACCTGAAACTAACAACAAAACAACAATTGCTAAACAACAAGTTGCCGAAACAACTAAAGCAACAACTGCAACAACAGCAACAGCCGCAACAACTTTAGAACTGGTGGACAAACCCAAAGTGATTGAGACTGCAAACGAAACAACAACAATAATAACAAACACAACAGCAACAACAACAACAACACCAACTGCTGCTGCAACTAACCCACCATCAGCAACTATTAACAACAACAACAACAACAACACAACAACCTCAGCTTTAGTTAACAAATCGAAACAACTCCAAACCGAGTTGCTTATCAAACGTGAAAATAACTCGCCCGGACCGCGCACCATCACAGCACAGCTCTTCAGCAACAACAACAACAACAACAACAACAACAACATCACTAGCAACAACAACAACAGCAACAATTTGCTGCGCATCGAAGAGAAACGTCCCAAATCGGTGACTGCCTCACTCATACGCAGCACACCAACAATTGCTGCAGCAAAGAAAAGTTCAATTGCTGCTCAAACGTTGCCGCCGACAACAACAGCAACAGCTGCCATATTAAGCTCAAGCAACTTGCAACAGCAACAGCAACAACTGCAGCAGCAACAGCAACAAACACAAGATATGAATAAAGGATTCTTATCGTTCGCTGATGAAGGCCGAGGTTTAACAAGTAAGTAGAACAAACTAACATGCTTAACACACAGCAACAACAACAGCAACAACAACAACAACAGCAACAATAACAATAAACAATCATAAAGTTAACAAGTTGCCATTATGCAAGTAGATAACCCCCCTCGAAAGCCTAACTAGAGCTATAAAAAGCTATATATACAACTATATAACAGTATATATATACCTAAAATAGATAACTCCCCCTGGGTGCTCAGTGCATTGTGATAAGCCAACGTTAGTTGCGCTGCAATCTGCATTATCAGTCGAATGCATTATCATTTAGTTCTAGAAGCAATACGTAATGCTCGCTTGTTAGCAATAGGTCAATGTTTTTGCCATAATTTATATATATAAGAATATGAAGAGAGAGAGAAAGGGAGTATTGATTACAAATTTCGTTTTACCAAATGTTAGAATTCGACAACTCAAGCTGTGTTCTTAAGAAATATTGCAATGCAGTGACCGCAAATAATCATTTAGGTTTCCATATAAAAATATAATAAGTATTATTTACATAGAATTTAGAGCTATACAAGGCCCACAAGATGTGCTGTATAAACTATATAGCTTATATGTATTGCATATTACACACATAAGTTGATAGAATGTAGAGCTGTTTGCAGCTTACAAGCTTATAAGTGTGACCGTAGCTTGTTTAGAAAAAAACGATTAATTGATTTATTTTATATAGTTATCAAATAAAATTTACTGCTTATTGTATATATATATATATAATAATATAAAAATATATAAAAATTTTATATAAATATATAAAAATATATATTATATAAATATATATAAATAATTAAAAATAACATACTTATATATTCATATGCAAAGTACACTTTAAGTGTGACCAGCTTATCTAGTGTTGTCATCCAGCATAAAACAAGCAAATCTCAAATTGCTTTATTTAAATATAGATGCTTCCGCCAAGTTACTTTTTTGTAACTTAAAAATTTAATTGATAATAAAATTGCAGCTTGAAGTGTGACCAGATTGTCTGAGAATATAATTAAACCGTTCTATACGCACTCAAATGTTACTCAAGCTATAAAAAAATATGATTTTTGAGAATTAAACTTTCAAGTGTGACTAAAATATGTGAATTACTAGTTAAAACTGTGACCTACCTATTCGAAACAGTAAATTAAAGAACTCAAACTACAGTTTTAAGTGTGGCCAGATTGCCTGCAAATATACCTAATTTAAAGTGTGCCCAGATAGTCGCAAACTGTAAGAGCCAGAGCCAGTCTTAAAATGAGCTCGTTTCTGTGGCAAAAGAAATGCATTTGCAGTCAAGTAATTAGCTCTAAATACACAGACAAGTGTGACCGTATTGCACGGCAAATTTCTTGATTAGAAGCAGATCTTTGATAATATATATATACATATATATATATATATATAAAGATATAGAGATATGTATTTATAGTTGCAATATCAAATAACAAATCATTAAATTTATGAGTAGTTGATTAAAGAATACTAGAAAACGCAGGCACTAAAGTGCGTAAATATTTTTGATTCCTGTTTGCTGCTTGTTCTTGTTCTTCTTGTTGTTGTTTTTGTTGTTATTGAATTGATGTTAAGTTGATAACCCCCCGAGTCCAATTTCCCGGTACAGAAAAAATCCAAAATGTGCATTTGCCAAAGACCAAGGCTGAAGTCAGGCGTCTGTCGTGTGTGTATGCATATGTATGTGTGCGTATATATGTATATATATATATATATATAAATATATATATATAAATATATGTATATATATATTAAGTATGCATATTCATCGAGTCGCGCCCGTTTCTAAGTTGTTTGTATATAGAAAAGTTGGGCAAGCGCTTGACGTGCGCTATTTGATGCGATTTGACGCATTGTCGTTACGTTATGCGGCAATTTTAATTGGTTAAAATGTCAATCAGTCAATCAGTCAGTCAGTCAGTCAGCTGCTCGTTCAGTTTGTCAGTTAGTCGAGTGCTTATCGACGTTTTGTGCTTGCAATTTGCGCAAATCAAACGATTTATTTGTAAAGACAACAGCAGCAAATGCACAGCAACAACAACGACAACAACAGCAACAAATTTGTAAACAAAATGCAGCAAAACTAGCCACATATATACACTCAGCTATGCCACATAGTGTACACATATATATATATATATATATATTTATATATATATATATATATATATATATATATATATATATGAATGTTATGTGCATAAATGTGCATCAACATTTGCCGGTTGGCATTTTTCGTCGTTCTCGTTGTTGTTGTTGTTCTTTCGTATTACGTGCATTTGTTGTTATTATTATTACTATTAGTATGCACATTGTTTTTGCTTTTTTGCTGCTTGTCATAATCATTTTAAATATTACGCATACGCCGCGTTTAACCCGCAAAAGCCGCAAATACATTTCGCTCGTACGTTCGCTCGCTCACTTGAGCCAATTAATATGGTTAAGCGATTTGGTGTCTGTCGTCCAGTTTGCTGGCGCGTGTTGCCCAGCTGCCTCTATGGCCGTAGATTCCCAAGCTTGTGTGTCGCCTCTGACATCTGTCAGCGGCAATGATCGCCCACACTTGTGGAGCAGCCTGCGGCTACCTTTCTGTGCGCTGCCATCGGATTTCGATTTTTCTATTTTCATTTTTTTTCTCTTTTTCTTTTTCGGTTAGCGCGTGCTTTTTTTTTTCTTTGGTGCTGCTGCAGTTCACTTGGAAACTGTCTTCAAATAAGTAATTGGTTATATTTTCTATACCCTGCAGCATATCAATATATAGGGAGCATTATAGAATAGTGATTTTAATAGAATTTTAGTACGTTGCGTGTCAGCTCTGTGAAAATCGCCCAAGTCTAGTTTTATAAATCGATATATATCGATTTTGAGCTGAAATTTGTGGAGATGAAACTCAAGTGTTGAGTGTGATGAATCTGCTGCAGTTGAATATCGATAAATATCGATTCATGATTTTGATTAGATTGGAATAACTATGTGCACTTATAGTCTAGATTCCATATAATAATGAATGTTCACAATTTGTGCTGCAGTTCAATAACGATAAATATCCGATTTGAAAGCTTGATAAGATTTCATAGAAATTGTTAAAACTTTGCGTTGCAAATCAATAGCGATAAACATTGATTTATGATCGGGAAGCCCCACAGTAGTCACTCGACTAACTCATTGCGTTGCACTTTTATAACGATAAATATCGATGCTCAGTTCGATAACTGTTTGTCCAGCCTTTTCGTATTACTATATTGAAAAGTCTTTCACTCAGCCCTTTTACAGGGCATCTGTTAGTCTACCATCTGTGCATTCCCCGGACTTTTCCTTCTATTTTTTTCCACACAGATTTTTCTTGCTTTCTGTTGACATTTTGTGCTGGCTGCAGACGCCGCAAATACTTCAGTTTTTTATTTCTATTGCTTCGACTTTTTTCCATTTTTTTCTCTCTTTTTGTTTTTGTTTTTGTTTTCTGTTCGAAGCGTCTATATTTATTTTGGTTTAACGTGGAACGTAAATAAACAGGGAAGCACTTATTATATTTATTTTCGTTGTAGATAACCAAAAGAATTTGCCAGTTATAACAATTTGATTCCCGGCTGATCGCTTGATGACTCGAGCAATTGTTGTATAACACATTTCTTATTTCATTGCGCAGACAATCAATAGACGTGTCTAAATCTCGTAATTCTTACATTTCGTTTACGTTTGTCCATCGAACTATCTTCCAATTATTGCCTCATGGCTAGGTCTAATCAAAGTTTATTTTCCGTTGTTTTCTGTCTACGAGTCTACGTTTCTACGGCTATGCGTAGGCATCTAATTCCGCATCCAGAACACGCGCTGATACGCTATAAACAGACGCACAAGTAGGTGCCTAATCGCGACCTCTAGCGCACTCAAGCTCTTAAATGGGGAGGGGAGGCGAACACAGCGACGCTTACATAAAGATGCTATCAAAGTTCCCATACACTGTTCACAGTGTGAGAAGAGAGCTTATAGGTTTGCGAACCTAATGTTTCTTATTTGTATAGGTTATGGTTATATATTGATAAGCCTATAGATAGCGAAATATAGGAAATAGAAATATAAAAGAATATTTCAATATGGATAAAGATGCAGATGTTTATCATGTGAAGATAAAAATGTGGAGAGTAAAAGATATATTAATATAGTTTGAGATAAAGATGTACCTATAAATATAGACAAAGATATTGATAAAGATAAAAAACCTAGAAGAGGGATATGTTTCTAGCTATATAAATAGTTAGAGATCAAGATATGGGTAAATATATGGATATGGATATAGAGATAGATATGGATAGGGATATATATAGATTTAAATATAGAATAGCCAAAGAGATAAATAAAAGCATAGATAAATTTAAAGAAACGTTTCCAGATATTCAGAAAGAGATTAAGATAAATATGGATCTGGATAAATATATGGATATGGATAGGAATATGAATATAAATATAGAATAGATAAAAGCATAGAGATAAATAAAATCGTAGAAAGAGTAATGCGTTTCCAGATATTCAGAAAGATAGAGATTAAGATAGATATGGATATGGATAAATGTATGGATATGGATAGGAATATAATATAAATATAGAATAGATAAATAAAAGCATAAAGGTAAATAAAATCATAGAACAAGATAAAGAAACGTAGAAAGAGAAATGTGTAGAAAGATAGAGATTAAGATATGGCTATGAATAATGATATATAAATATAGAATAGACACAGAGATAGATAAAGATACAGACAAAAATAACGACACAGTTAAAAATATAGATATCGATATATATATATACATATATATCGTAGATATACATACATCATAAGTGGATGGCGATCAGTATTTGAATATGGCATAGATATGCATAGATAAAAGATATCAATACAGATATTGAATGGGTTCTCGAAGTAGGTAAATATAACATACATATATATTTACTTAGATATGAATATGGATACGTAACAGTTAATGATATAGATAAATATATTTATGTATATATAAATACAGTTCTAAATATAGATATCGATCGATAGACAACGATTTGCACATATTTGATGCATTACGCCTATATCTTTGAGCTCATAATACCAAGTGCTGAGTCATTTCAATTGTAAGTTGCTTGTAGAGTATTGGGTAGTCGGCTAACATTGCTCATATTTATTTTTTATTTTCGTTTTCCTCATCTTTGCTTCACGTTAAGTGCTTGCGTCCGTTCTTATTCTGAGCTTTTCTTTTGATTTACATTAATCCGTATTCCCTGTTTGGGATGCGACTGAACTACGTCATTATTATGTTGATCAACAACATTATTATCATCCGCATCACTATCGTCATCATCAACATTCATCATTATGATGATTTATTTAAATTGAAACTGTGTCGAGTTGTTGAGTGAGTGTTGGCTGGGCCAAGTCACGCGTTAGACATAGCTCGCGTGTGTTGTGTGTTGTGTGTGTGTGTGTGTGTGTCTGTGTATGTGTATATGTATATGTATGCATGTATATATGTGTGCTAGTCTAACAAGTACTCGTTATTCATTGAATGGTTATTCTAGAAAACTTTCGAATTCAGATTTTCAAGTGCATCGAATGTGGCTCAAGTGCAGCTACTGCAGCTTGGGGCACGTCACGAGATGCGATGACAGTCACTTATTTTTTGGTGCTTTTTTTTTTGGTCGACGTTTTGTTTTTTATTGCCACAGATCAACTAATTAGCTGGTGCTTTAGTAAAAGCCTCAGCCCCTTCGCTCAGCTGCTAAAATTTGTTGCATTGAACGCTGTAGTTTTTCCCTCTCATTTTTATTTTTTTTCGGTCTTCGACCTTGCACTTTACACTAACAATTACGAAAAATAAAAAGATCATAAAAAAACACTTTGCTAATATTAACAAATGGGCTCTATGGCACCCACTTGGCCAACTTGTATTATCGTGTGCCATAATTTCACTTGTTAATTTATTGTTGTTGTTGTTATTTTGTAGTTTTTCATATTTTTGTTTTTTCTTCTGTTTTTGCTTTTCCGCATAGTCCATCGTCGTCGTCGTCGAGTAGCACTTGTGTGCCATAATTATAAGTCGCACTGTAGGGGGTCAGGTGTAGATCCCCACCTCCCCAACTAGACGCCCCTCTGGCTAAGTGTTTGCATTGTTAATTAATTTGTCAACAGCGTGTGTGTGTGAGATAGTCCCTATATGGCAAGTCGAGTGCATATTTTATACAATATATATATATGTGTATATATATGTATATAGCTATATATGTTATATATAAACTGCAGCAAATCGTGTGCCAAAGCTTTGTTGAGCCCTTAGCTGTTTTGATTCGTTTTATATTAAAAGTGGGCATTTGAGTTTAGTGAGTTTGTTACAGTGTATGTCAGAGGCAGTACTAATATATATCATATCATAAGATATATATATATATTTTTTTTTGCAGAGTATCAATACTTGAGTGAGTCTTTTGAACTTGCAAACTTAAAACTTTATAGTTTCATGTTTAGATCGTGCAAAATTAAATTTGATTTCCAATTATCGATATATTTTTTGATTTTCAAGAGATCGATATATACTTGAACATATTTCGTATGCAACTTATCTGAAAGTCTACACAGATAAGTAAATCATTGGAAAGTCTTTCGAGCTTAAGTTTTTTTAATCTTTTTATAGACTTTCTTAATCAGTTATTGAGCACAGTATAATCGTAGCCACTTATAAGAAGTTTCTTGTTTATTAAACTCATTCAATTTCCATTTACTAGCTTTAGCCTTACAGTTAGCTAAAATTGTTATTTTTATTTTTACTAAGATTTTTTCGACTTGTCAGCCTTTCTTTAGCTTTCTCTATTCAAAATAAGCTTGAAATTGATTTTTAAGGCACTTCTTGAAGAGTATTTAAACTCTGTTGTAATGCCTGGCGTTTGTTGTCGTTGGTCATTGTAAAATAAAATAAATATAGTATAAATTATCAATTGGTGCTTAAAAGTTATTGGAAAAACTAGAATATTGTTTGCTTAGAACTTGAGCCACAGATAAGATACGTTTTGTTGTTGCTTTTCGCAGTTGCCGGCAAAACAAGTGCACAAACAACTGAACAGTAGAGTGAAAATTCAGCCGTAATTTGTAGAAGTATTTATATATATATGTCTGTAAATTTACCAATATATATATGCATTCTGTTCTGAAAAAGTTGATTTTATTTAGTTTATGTTCAGTGTAGTGCAGCACTACTACTATTTTAATGAACACAACTGTGTATATCAATAGACATGAAAAAGTCGCTTGAATAGCGCTATTTATATATCTGAAAACTCTCGTAGCCTGATAAACAATGTCGTAAATATGGCAACCCCAACTAGTTATACTAAATAAAAATACAAATATATACATGCGAATATATAGCTCTAGGTATATATTGTAATTAAAACGTGTGAGCTGTTTATACCGGTTAACCGCTCCCACTAGCGTCGTACATAGCATATATTTAAATATATATATATATATATATATAAATTTTTATATATATATATATGGTATTATGATTGTTGACTGAAGTTTTGTCGTGACGCGCATCCAAATCTCTGCTTGATTGCAAATGCCGATAAGCCGCTCGCATCTCAGATCTTGCGGTTCTGGGGCCTTGACTTCCAGTTGGGGTTAGGCCTCACTAGGCTAAGTGCATTCGAAGCAATGTTTGCCACTGTTGCAATTCCATGGGTCGTACGTCAACGCTACACCTTAATCAGTTGCAAAACTTTTCCGATGCTGATTAATAAGGCAAACAAACAAACAAACCGAGCAACGAAAAAAGTGCCTGTCAAAAAGGCCATTAAAATCTTTGCCCTAGCCTAGCAATTGTAGCGCATAAATCAACTAATTCAAGCAGCCAAAAAAAAAAAAAAAAATAGAGAAGAGAACAACTTTTATTAGACTCAATTGGAAGCTGTCAATTGGAAGAAATGAAATTTTGTTGTTTTTTTTTTTTTGGGGGGCTGTCAGTTGTAGTGCGCGGCGCCAGTACAGTCTGGCCGGGTGTCTGCCGTCTTGTGGCTTTAATTAACAGCAACTTTTGTTTTCGGAGACGTCTGCACTTAGCACCAAGTTTTGACACCTCTTTGACAACTGCACACATGCCCTAAATCAAATATATGTATTAAAAGCAAACTAAATCTAACTGACGTACTTTGCCTTCTGCTTCTGCTTCTTGATTCTTTTGTGTAGTGCTGAAAGAGGAACCGGATGACTTGTCGCAACAGTTTGTCAACAATGCGTTGGATGAGCCCTTTGGCGAGATTCTGGTGGGCTTGATGAACTCCTGTTTGCTGCCCGATGACATCAGTTCGCTGGACTCGACCACCTGCTCGACCACGGGCAGTGCGACGCACTATCACAACAACAGCAACAGCAATAGCAGCAACAGCAGCAGCAATAACAACAACCACAATCACAATCACAGCAGCAGCAACAACAGCGGCAGCGGCAGCGGCAGCAGCAGCCACAGCAGCAGCAATAACAACAGTTACAACAGCAATCGTCAGAGCTTAAACACAGCAGCAATCGCCGCAGGCACAACCAGCAGCAGAACTAACAGCCACAACAGCAACAGCAACAGCAGCAGCAGTAGTAGCTGCAACGGCAGCAACAGCCAGCAGCAGGATAATAGCAACAGCAACAGCAACAGCAGCCACATTGATCCGTTGTTCAACTATCGCGATGAATCGAACGACACCAGCTGCTCGCAGCATCTGCACTCGCCTAAGGTAAGCAGCGGCTGCTACAGCAACAGCTTCTAACAGCATCTTAATCTCGACTCTTCTCTCTCTGATTACAGACGCCCGAGGACAGCAGCCTGCCGTCGCTGTGCAGCCCGAACTCGTTGGCCCAGGAGGACGACTTCACGTTTGTTGACTTTGGCATGCGCGCGCCTTACATACCCATGGGCGATGACATGCCGTTGCTGACCGAGAGCAGCGATCTCATGTGGTGTCCGGCGGATGATTTGCCGCCCATGGTGCCCAAGGATTTGGATAGCGTGCAGCAACATTTGCAACAATTGCACCAGCAGCAGCAACAACAGCAGCAGCAGCAGCAATATAACAGCTATCAGCAACCGCTGCAACAGCAATCGCAGCAGCAGCAACATTTTTCCAGTTCGCTGTGCTCCTCGCCTGCCTCCACAGTGTCGTCGCTGTCGCCATCGCCCGTGCAGCAGCAACAACACCAACAGCAGCAGCAACAGCAGCAGCAGCAGCAGCAGCAACAGCAGCAACACTCAAATGTCTACAGCACTGGCTCCAGCGAGTTGGCAGCTTTGCTCTGCGGCACCGGCAATGGCACGCTCTCAATTTTGGGCAATGCCTCTGGCGAGGATCGCCTGCAGCAGAATGAGCAGGACTTGCGCAGCTTCCAGCAAATGCAGCCGGCGCTGCAGCTGGAGGAGGAGGAGCAACTGGAGCGCGAGCAGCCAACATTTTTCCAGCAGCAAATGTTGCTGAGCATTGGCAGGCAGTGCAAAAAGGAGAAGTTCGACGTCTCAGTGTCCGCCAGCTTATATTCCCCCAGTGAGGATGCATTTCACAATGATTACAGCAAAGATTGTAAGTATCGAGTGCGCGAGAGAGGCAACAGAAATATGCAGCAGGCAGCGGAAGGCTAAAAATCGAATATCGAACGAACTCATAAATATGTCTAAAGATCACAATTAAAGCGCCTCACGTCGAGTCGAATAGTTTTTTTTTATGGCAGCCAAAGACACCTACGCGGCGACAATAGACAGCCTGCTGCCGGCTAATTATGTAGCTCAAGATTTTCCCTCAACAATTTTCCACGCACACGAACATTTTTCACACATTTGACAATTTTTGTTTTTGTTTTTTTTTTTTTTTGTTTCCAACATTTACTGCATTTGGAGAGGCCTAAATTGTAGCTATGCGTGTTTATTAATAGACTTAAAACACTGCTATGCTTGAGACATATACCTTATACATTAATATATATATCTAAGTATATATATAGTAGAGTATATGATGTATATTTATATGTATACATGTGTGTGCGTGTGTGTAAAAATAGATGAAAACATTGCCACAAATTTCCACATTTATTTGGCATTTAGTTTTTCTTTGGACAACTTTCGCGGGCATTTCGATTTTGTCAAGCGATTTGTGACACTAGAGACTAGGATGCATAGAGTTATCAAGTATATATATATATAGCAAACTTAACATTTATATAGCCATATATCAACTATGTTCCCTATACAAAACTATTTTATATATAGCTCTTGGATTGCCTAATAATCGTAGCTGCCCAAGCCCCTTTGCTAAGTTTCATAATGACTCTTCAATTGAGTCTTCGTAACAGATAGACATATGTCAGGGCAGTTCATTTTCTTATGGCTATATGCTTTGCTATATAGCTCTTCTCTCCTCCGCTTCAAGGTGAGAGCTAATTGATGTTGGGGTCTTCGGGCCCAAACTGTTGCCACAATTACCACTGTCAGGCAGTTGTTGTTGTTGTTCTTTAGTTAGCACTGTGTAATTTTTACACATGCCATGGGCGGGCGACACGCCTTTTACCTTTGACACATGTCACGCAGCGGCTGCACGAGGTAGCCGTGATTGATTTGACTGGGTCTAAGGCCTGGCCCTGTCAGGGCAGACGCTGCCTGTCGTTTGTTTAGATGATTTGGCCGCTTTGTTTTGGCATCTAGACAGATGTCTGCGGAGTGTTCTTTTCTGCTATGCCTAGCATAAAGTGGCCATATCTCAGCATATATTTTCCAAATACCTATATATATATATATAGATATATTTGCATAGAGATAGATACCCTTACCTCCGTGTCTTATAAACAGATATTTTTCACTTTTTGGCACACATGCAAGTTTTCACGAATAAAAAATAAAAATAAAAATTTATAGAAGATTATTATTGTTTTAAATTAGCATCAATGTCATGGGCAAGAGGAATTAATTGCTCGTCTGTTTGCCAGCAGGCGAAGCAGCAGATCGCACAATCATCCAATAAATTCCGGGTGAGAAAAGAAGATTAAGTAGAAATGGGGAGCGATTTAGTTAATAGTGGTTAATCAGCGAATACCCTACGACCAGAGTCTATACATGCATATCATCTATGAATCTATATGTATTTAAAAGTGATTCTTCCTTCTGATTGTGCCTTAAGATTTCTAAGAAGCTCAGACATTTCATGCTTTTAACTCCAAAAAATCTTCAAACTAACTTGAAATAATTTAGATCAATTTAGATTCACAAAATGAAAAATAAAATTGATAATCGATAATTATCGATTTGTTTGCTATACGCGCAGGTATTTATATTTAGCCTGAAGTTTTTAGCTTTTAGTGCCAGCCAACAAAGGCCAATAAACCTTGGCAGAGAATCGATATACTGCATATTAATTTTATAACTACTCGATATTTATCGATTTTTAGCACAAAAGTTATTATTGTGAGTAAAAAGTCATACAAAAAGTTGCCCATTCTTGATCCCTTTACAAATTGACTCAGCTTTTGTTATTGTGAACAGTTATCTAACGTATATTGTGAATGAATTCGATGGAAGATGTCATCCGCCGCTGCAACTGTTGGGTATCTGAACCTTAACTGAATGCCTCGACGACTCTTGTATTTCTTAAATTTTTTAACTTATTTCATTTGATTACAATTCTTCAGCCAACAATTTGGATTACTGGAGCGATTTGTTGCAAATGAATGTGGCTATGGCCAACAGCAGTCCCGCGGTTTCTCCAGCGCCCAGCAAGGTGACAACGTTGCCGCTGCTACAGCAGCAGCAGCAACAGTTGCCACAACAACAACAACAACAACAGCAGCAGCAGCAGCAGCAGAATATCATATTGAATGCAGTGCCATTGATAACAATACAAAGCAATGCGACAATGTTGCAGCAGCAGCTGCAGCAACAGCAACAGCAACAGCAGCAGCAATCGGAGGAGGAGCTGCAGGAGCTGTTGCTGCCAGGCAAGCTGCCTGCCAAGAGGCTATTGAATGGCACCAAGGCAACCATACGCCTGGTGGAAAGCAAACAAGCAACAAAGGCAACGCTGCTGCAAACGCTGTCGCCACAGCAACAGCAGCAGCAGCAGCAGCAACAACAGCAGCAACATGGCAATAAGCGTCATTTGAACAGCCAATCAGCAGCAGGCAATGTTGTGGAGTCGAAGCGCCTGAAGAGCGGCACGCTGACTCTGGAGGTGCAATCGCCACAGCTGCTGCAGCAGCTAATGGGCAAGGAGCAGCAGCAGCAGCAGCAGCAGCAGCAGCAGGCTAACAAGCGACACGCAAGCGAACGCTGGTCTACAGCAGCTGATGCCAAGCAACAGAAGCAGCAACAGCAACAACAACAACAACAACAGCATCAACAGCAACAACAACAGTCGAATTCTGTGCTAAAGAATCTGTTGGTTAGCGGATGTGATGTAAGTGCCGGCTATTGCATTGTGCCGATGCGGCCCAAGAAGCAGCTGGCGAAGGTCTAGAGCTGGATGCGTGCCACAGCCACAAACTGAAATATCGTGTGTGTGTTAGTGTACAATGCGAACGGACAAGCCCATTTCTACAATTTGTGCTTTTGTAAATGGAACGATTTTATAGACAAGAAATGAAACCCTCCCGCTAAGCCCACAGAAAAACATAAGAAAATACCTAATTCTACTGCAACCTCCATCCCCACCCCGGCCCGACCCGACCCCACCAACTTACCCAGAACCTAAAGCCGAGCTAACGCACCAAATGTTGCATGCAACGTGCAGCAGTTGGCGTGCGTCCAAGCTTAGCCATAGTCGTAACATAAATAAATACTTACATATATATATATATATATATATATATATATATATGTATATATATGTAGGTGTTAATCAATATATATGTATACATATAGTCTAGCTATAGTCATAGTGTCTACCTTATAGAGTTATTGCTTAATGTTTAGTCTAGTTTAAGCAGCAGCAGCAGCCGTGTGGACTTTAAAATTATATATATATATATATATATATATATATATATATATATATTTTAGTAGACTATTTAAAATAGTCATTTTTAATGCATCATTGAACTAATTGTTAAGCCTCAGTTTTAATTTTTAATTTCCCACACACATATATATGTTTATATATATATATATATATATATATTTGCCCGATTTTATTTAGAAACCTTTTCCCTTTAATTTGCTTTATTTGTTGATTTCATTTTAAGGCCATGTTGTTATATATATTTTGTTGAGCATATTAACTATATGCTATATATATTTTTATTGTACATATAACTACCAGATACACACACACACACACCCACACACCCCCACACACACACAGACATATTTACATTTAATAAAGCTAGCGCCTAGTTTTTGCATAAGTCGAAGCGTTTTGGGCTACAGTGACTACCAGCAGCATCACAACACCAGCAAATAGCAAAGCAAATTAAAAACAATTTTGAAAGCAAAAAAAAAAAAAAACAAAAAATAAAAAACTCAATATTTGCAAGTATAAAAAAAAATAAGAAAAATGGCATAAATTAAATTGAATTTGTTTTTTTTTCTTAGCCCCTTCATTTGTTTACTGTGATAGCCATATTGCGTTTTTTGTTCTCTTTTTATTAAATATTATTAAATAATATTTCGATTCGAAATTTGTTAAATGTGTAAGCATTTTTGGACTGACAGGCAGCAGAAACAGAGCCAGCGCCAGCTTTAAATAACTGTTAAAAGTAAAAGAGCAGGAAACTCAAGGAAAATTGGAAAAACTTACGTCGACAGCGTTTTGATTCGAATTCAGTTTTTTCTACCTCAAATCACTTTGTGTTAAAAAAAAAAGACGAAAAGTGCTGGGAGTGGCATATATATATATATACCCTGTAAATTGTAAACATTGTGAAAATGATGTAGTAAAAAAATTGAAATTCGAGCGCTGGATGGTACAAAAATAAAAACAAGAATTAATAAAATTAAATTTAAATTAATAAATTAACTAGCTTAAATTAATTAAAAAGTCAACAAAATCAGGCTGTAGGCAGATTTACCTAGCTATAGCTCTACGAAACTAAACATATACCTATCGAACTAAGCAACTAGAGAAGAGAAAACTATTAGCAATTAAATTTGAAAATAAGAAATTTAGATTCCTAAGGCATTTCCTAGTGCAGCGTAGCTAAGCCATAAATCCAATAGAACTCTGTTCCGAATTTCCATTTCGTTGCGAAATCACGAAATATCACATATATGGCATACTTTTCGGTGCGAAGAAAATAGTTTTTTAATTTTGAAAATTTTTGAAATTATTTTAGAAAAGGAATTTTTTTGAGAAATTGCATTAAAATTGAAATCGGGAACAGGGAACATTTTGAGTCTAGATCATGTTTTGGAGAGCAGAAAAATCAATTCCTTAAGTTGTTAGCTGAAAGCTCAGTGCTTGAAGCAGTTGAGAATTCTAAGCGCAGCAGTTGCTATAAGCTGTAGCCGTCCCCTTTGGCTATATCATTCAACTCTCGAGCATTGCAACATGGTCTAGTCTCAGCAAATAAACCAAACAAAGACGTAGCACAATTTGAAGCACCTAATTTAATAAGTTCTTTAAGTTTTAAGGCACTTTTTAGATTAAAAGTAAAAAAAAAAAAAAACAAAAGAAACCAAAAAAAAGTTTATTATTTTATTTATTTTATTTGGTTTCGTTGATTGTCTTTAATTTATTTTGGCTTTTTAAAGTGTTGATTTAAAAGGCTTTATTGATTTTTCATAAATACTGACCACACGCTGACCCACTTTGCCGGAGTGGCGCGGTGGCTCATTGTGTGGTGCGTGGTGCGTGCCCAACATATTATTCATTGTGACTTTAATTAAGCTTTGTTTTCCGTATGTGTCGCGTGCCAGCCCAACATTTGTGAGTGTGTGTGTGTGCGTGTGTGTGGGTGTGTATTGCTAAACAGCCTAAACAAAGCCGCTGGCAGCCTTCAAATCGTAATCATAAATATCCTAGACGAGAACAGTTTACACGCAAAGTCTTTATAGAGCTACATCGAACTGCGTAATATTTCAATTTCGATATAAAGAAAACAAAAAACACTCAAAAACTGTGCCGACTTCACTATACTCTGTTCACACGTGTCTAAGACTCTTATTGATTACTATGCTGTTAGCTGTCTTTCCGAGTCGGAGTCTTTCCTTACATCACTTCAAATACCCTTGCACATACAGTCAGCCAAATATACCCTCAATCAGCTAACGAACAGTGTATATGACCAAAAAATACTTCAGTTTTAAATAAAAAAAGATTGCTAGCGCGTGTTCGTGCCCCTACGCCTGTTGTGGGCGTAGCCATTGACACCTACCCACCTGTTTCTATTGAGTTTCGATTACACATTCATAAAATTAACATATTTTATTGGCTAACCGAGGAGGCATGAAAAGGCCCCAGCAGATGAGTGCGCGCGTATTGATTTTACAGCTGCTGGTGCCAGGGCCAATACGCATTTACCCACTGTGCCTATCTGTGTCTATCCTTTAATGGCAGTTTAGGCCTTAGTTCTTTAGCTTTCCTTGTGCTTTGCGCCTTTTCACTTTCACTTTCAGTTTCACTTTTGTTCTTTGGCCAGAGCACACAGCACAGCTGATGTGCTCTCACTTTGACTGTGGCTTTCTGACTCAGTGCGCTCTTCTCTCTTTCTTTCACTCTCTTCCCTCTCTCTCTTTTCTCTCTTTGTGTATCGTTCTCTGAGTGTTTCCCTTTTCCCTATATTTGCGCTCCTGCTGCCGCTTCTTGTCTTTCATGGCCCCGTTTTTATGGCCGACACGAGCTACGCTCATTTTGTAGGCCCACTTTATACTCCCACGCCTGCTGCCGGCCCTTGCTGTTGTCTTTTTGTTTCAGCTGCCCTCTTCCTGTAAATGTCAACGACTGCTGCAACATATTTAGGCCCGGCTGTTACCCAATTTGCATTGGCTGTGTATGACTGTGTGGGCGTGTGCGTGTGTGGCACTTAGCTGCTGTCTAAAATATGCTGTTGCCTACTTTTGTGCGCAGAATAAAATTATTTTTTATTTGCTTTAATTTCATTCATGCTCTTTGCTTTATTTACAAAAAGCTTTCTATAGCAGCTAGAAAAATGTAGAAACACGTCGAAACTAAACCGAAGCTACCTCGCGTCAGAGAACCGTAACTACCTCCCGAACCGAAACTGTCAAAGATCGAAAAATTGAAAATTTAAAAAAAAAAAAAAAACAACAAAGTGTGTTCTCAGCTGCATAGGAAATTTAGATGTTAGTTAAGTAAAATTAGTTGAAAAAGAAATCGACTCAATCGATAGCAAAATTACGAAAATTGATAAGCAATCCCGATAAAAGAAATGAAATAGATAAAAGTAAATTCTATATAGGATGGTGTGTTAGACGTAGATGTTAAGCGAAACTAACTATTAATCGTAACTAGACAAATACCAGGACAATTAAAAGAGTATTTCCTTGATAATCATTTAGAATGTCAGAGATCCCAACTGATTGCAAAATGGTGCAAGTTGAAAATATTAAATAATTATAGCCCGAAAAGACTGCGAGCCAAAAACTCTCAAAATTATTATTATATTACATATATATTTATAAATATATATATAAATATACAAAACGCAACCGATTTGAAGACGGCTAATAAAAAGCCTAAAATACTACAACTACAATACATAGTTCTATGAAACGAGTTGCTTGTACATAGCGAGCGAGCGAGTGGAAGGTGAGGCGAGTGCAAAGCAAACACCAGGCATACCTTTTGCAATAGCTATTTGCCTAGCAGAAAGAGAATATTGAGAGGCTCTTAAATATTAATCGATGTGGCTTTAACTAAACTATATTTAAGCACAGACAACATACGACTAAACCTCATATAAGTAAACCCTCAAGATCAAGTCAAATTTGTTTAGCATTAATATACATATAGACGACACATATATATATATAGCGACTACTCATAAACATATGCTGCATATATACATTCATACATACTTACCTACATACTTGCATAACTATATACAAATCTATTCATATAAGATTTAGTTGAAATTTTTCGCGTTACGTATGAGAGAATGAACGGCAATGGGAACGGAACGATATAGTAGGGGGCAGGAACGATATAGCTTTATCGAAACGGAGTGCAATCCGAACGATCGCCACTTGAAGCGAGTGCAACTCGAGCGAGTGCTGCGAATAGAAATTGTATTGTGTCGCGTTGAAAGTGCAACGAGTGCAACTCAAGCGAGTGCAATTTGTAAAGAGTACAATATGAAACGAGTGCAGCTCTAGAGAAAGACAAATTGTCAAGAGTTCAGCTCGCACAAGTTTAACATGTAACGAGTACAACGTGTAACGAGTAAAGTTTGTAACGATTTCAATGTATAACGAGTACATGACGAACGAGTACAGCTCGTA